TTTTTTCTTAGTAACCGGCTGGTAACTTTCCGGAACGATGCCCATCCGTTGCTGGTAGCTCAGCTGGCATGCAACTGTCATATCTATTTTCTCTTTTGTGTATTGCGGCACAGTAGCTGAGGCACAGTAGCTACTCTTGTAGATGCCGCAAGTTCAGTAAGGTAGCTCTGGCTTTTGCAATGCGTGAGCTGACGTCAGTTTCTATGCGCCCCTCATTGCTGACGCAGCTGCCAAGATAAGTGAATTGATCAACCACCTCGAGTTCCTCGTTAGCAAGCGTCATCAAGTGGCTGGTGGTCCTGCAGCAACACTTTGCACTTCGAAGATGCGAAGTGCATACCAAATAATGGGACCACTCTGGATAGGCTATTCAGGGTTGATTGTGCGGCCTCAACATCGTCGAAAGCAAGACGATATCGTCCGCATAATCTAGATCAACTAACCTTTCACCAAGCAGCACTTCAACGCCTACATCGTGGGATTTCGCTAGGGAACACTTCATGATAGAATCCACGACGAAATTGAACAAAAATGGGGAAATCGGACAACCCTGTCGAACGCCACTTGTGGTCGGAAAGCTATCCGAAAGGCCACCGTAGACCCTGACGCGGTCAATAGTGTTCGAGTATAGAGCAAGAAGGATGTTCACATATTTCGTGAGAACACCTTTCCGCGCAGGTATTTCGAACACATCGATCGATCGACTGAATCGAACGCACTCTTGAAATCGAGGAACACAGTTACTGTCGATTTGCGGCACGCGTTGCGCTGTTCTAGCACCTGCCGCAAAGTGAATATTTGGTCTATACAGCCACGCCCTGGGAGGAAACCGGCCTGCTCTTCCCTAATCCGAGATTCCCGTTCTGCAGTGAGGCGACGAATGATAATCAAGATCAATATTTTTGTCACAACTGGCGTTAGGTTAATACCCCTGTGGTTCGCACAGTCTGAACGACTGCCCTTGTTGTACATTGCCACTATAATGGATTCGCTCCAGTTAGCCGGGACGCTCTGTTCTATCCAGTTGCGTTCGAATAAGGAGGTCAGTGCTTTGCAGAGGACCTCCTTTTCATCCTTAAATAGTGCAGGTAGGAGGGAATCTGGGCCAGCGCAGGAAAACGATTGAGGGCTGTAATAGCGTTTCGGACCTCGGCCTCCTTCGGATGCTTTAAACTAACCGTCCATGGCTCTTCCTGCATCACCTGAGTAGGAATAGATCCGGGAGTAGAGGGCCAGCTGAAATGATCTTGAAAGTATTCCGCCCAACGAGCCATACGGCGCTCCTTATTGTGTATCAGCACACCCGAACAACAGATAGCACTGAATTAGTTGCGTTGTCTTAGGCACGTGCTACGTATGCCTGGTCACCTTTTACCTAGGAGTGTCTTGTTTAGTCTGCCAGGTATAGGGTAGCGCAAGTCTCGTACTGGACAGAAGTTGATTTGGCAACGGGAAATGAAATTACTGACGACAAAACTGGGTGGTGTTGCTACGTTTCGTAGTCCGGGCTAGAGCCCATGTGACTCGCCTTGTGCTTTGCTCGAGACTACTGGACGGCTCACAACCGACCCCAGTGGCGCGTCTGCTACCGTCTGCTAATGGGATTGCCTGTTTAAGGTGTGTTTGGTGCTGAGGTGTCTCTAGGGTAATGTCTGATTATGACGCGGGGCAGTGGAAGCCGCAAGGAATCTGTTTCGCCTATGCCGCCCTATCTTTGTATGATAGCCAGCTGTTTGTGTCGGGATGTTGTCTACACAAGGTGTGGGCGCCTTGACCCTGAATATTTGCTTAAAGCGTTAAGGTTTTCAGATAAGTTCCCCTTCTCTCCCTCTTATTATTCTTTATTCCTTAGGTCATGATTGTTGTATGGCAGCGAAGCATCAGTTCAAATGGCTGATGTGCTGCTGTTGTTGATTGATCGTGTGGATAGAAGCTGAGAGGGGAGATCAAGCGGTGAATTTATCAAGTGGTATGAAGTCCCTCATTTCGAATTTAACGTCAGTTGGTGCATCCCGACCGCCAGGGTGGGTTCCGAATGATGAGGAACATGTTTGCTTAGTTACGCTAGTTTACGAAAACCGACCTCAGTGGGGTTTATGTTATTAATTTCTTTGTTCCTCCTCTTTCACTTTCCCCTCCAACCTCGATCTCATTCGCGGTAAGTAATATCATATTACTTGTTTAGGGCTTTTATTTTATATTCTTTATTGATTTGTCTCACTTTTTCACGTATATATTTGTATTACCCTTGCAACGGCTGAGGTGTTTCTCACTTTCAGCTACCTTGTACTGATGATAATGACGACAAAGACTAAGCGCAAGCTTGTCTCAGCCTCCCAGTATACATCAGTCTACTTGGCTGATGCCCCGCCACTTAGTAACTATGCGCCCCGACATTCCAGTTCCTTGGAGTACATAGAAATTCCTACGGACATGGTATTGATATATCGCAAATTGCATCCGAATCTCCTCACGTTTTGCACCCAATGCTTTTCAGGACAGTAGCTAAGTATGTTGCTAGACTAATCTCCCATTTGCTTTGGCACACCGAGGCCTGCTTAGAAAGTAGGTATGGTGAAGCATATCCTCAAATGAGGAAACCGAATAGATCCTGGGAGCTATAGGCCGAGTCGCCTGACGATCACTTTCTATATGGGGGAAAGGGTTTTTAAACAGGTCATTTTGATTCATCTGGAGTCTGCATCCGGCCCGTCGCCTTAAGGTAACGAGATTGTCTTGTAATCTGACCTCGCGGTTTCGAGCCTGCGTAGAGGCAGGGTGACCTTCGCAGTATCCTTAGCCCACGTGCGACCGGTGATGGTTAAGCAGCAACGAAGCGTTGCTACTGCGTACTGGATTACTGCTGACGCCTTTCTTTCCTTCGAGTGCCTAGACATCATCACTCCTGCTCAGCACGGTTCCCGGAGGGCGCGTTCGTGTGTATCCAACTTGCTTGTTGTCACGGAAAATTGGCGAAATCAGTAGCCGCCGAAAAACACTTGGAGTTGTGTTTGTGGATTTCATCGAGGCCGTTGCCAAGGGACCGCATGGTCTAATAGCCGGTAATGTTCTTTATTAGATTGCTTACTTCCTGTTAGACCGTTTTATGTATGTGAAAGTCAGCGACGAGCTCTCCACTGTTGTGCTCGGCAAAAGCATCAGCAGTATGTCGGTATACAGTACCGACGCTTCGCTGCCGCGCAATCACCACCACTCGTGCGTGGACTAAAGGTACTGCGAGAGTTTCCCGGTCTCCCACGAATGCTCGAACTCGCAACTTCAGGATTACAAGGCAGTCTTGTGGTCCTTAAGTCCATGGACCGGCCCTGTGCCCATGATCAGCGGCGTTTTACAGAGCTCTGCCGTTGGCTCTGATCTATTCAACTTTTTCATAAATGATCCTCCATCGGCACTTTAGTTTGCTTGCGTAATTTATGCCGATGATCCCAATCTATAGTAGAATGCACCTAACCTCAACACGTGGAGTTTGCATTTAAAACCGGTTGAACATGTACAGTAGCCTCACTGGCTTGGCTGTCGAATTATGTCTGATGCAAGAGATTTTTAGTCACGCATACTGAAAGACCACCTACACAAACCCAATCGAGCATTTTATTCAGCTTCATGTTTGCAACGTTCATCCAACAGGTTGCCAGCCCGTAGCCTAAAGGACCACAAGCCTGACTTGTAATCCGAGGGCGTGTGTTCGAGCCTCCGTACGGACCGAGCGACTCTCACGGTATCCTTAGCCCACGTACGACTGTTGGTGGTTGCACGGCAGCGCACCGTCGGTACTGAGTACCGACGTACTGCCGACGCGTTTTTTGCTGTCATCGATTATCTAAATGACCCGGAAGCAGAAATACCTGAAAACACATGCTATCCTCTTCAGACCATGCGATTCCATCCCCAGGAGGCCCTTGAAATTGTGTGATAGTTCGCGTACCTCCGTGGTCCATTGGACTCCATTAGTTGATGCTCTTCAGGTGCCTTCAGGTGTTTATAAATAGGACTATTTACCGTAAGAAGAACATTAGCAGTACGCCGGTACACCGTATCGATGCTACGTCGGCCGGTGGCCGAGTGGTCTGCGCGTTTGGTTTGCAACCATAAGGTCACCGGTTCGAATCCGTTTAGGAGTGGGCGTCCTCGCGGTATACTCAGCCAACGCACACCTGATGGCCGTTACGCGCGCCGTTACTGCGTGCGGCTGACACATTATTATTATTAATTATCGACGCTACGTTACCACTCGACTACAAACTCTTGCATATGGTTTACGTATGTCGCCCGCATCCACGCGGACTCGCATCGGCAACTGCACCACAGGCGCGTAATTCTCTCGCCCATCGACCGAGATACCTTGTTTCCCAGTGGTTTGCTCGCACATCGAATTACAGTCCGCTCTCCGGCTGGCTAAACACCGTCCTTTATGTGGCTTGCAAAGAGGTCTGTCTTGTCTTCAGTCGTTTACTTGACCATATGACAACGGCGATAGCCAGTGGCACACTGCAGTAGCGAACTACTCGGCTATCCTCGACAGGCACTTCATGATACACGCCTTGATTTATCGAACGCTTGTCTGACATAAGATTGACTACAGCAACGTGGCTTTTGGCGTCCCTTTGGAATTTGACTAATTGGCATACCTGCGTAAATACCGGGGAGGTTGCATTATGGTTGGTCAGAGGATCCTGCATTGTGCAGCGTGTGATACTGATTTGACGTGTGTACTCAAAGATTTCAGTGATTCCAGCGATCATTTCACGTAGGTACACTGTAGCTGCCTTATGCCATTCCGGAGGTCACCACTCATGACGAGAGATAGCAAACCGAACCGACACCAACTGTGGCAGTATAGCTAGAAGCGCCAGCTCTTGGCGTGCTGCAGTGTGCAAGTTGGGACATCATATGATTGTTACTCGGATCGACTTCAAGTCTTTTTTCGACAGCGTTTTCCACTTACTTCCTGGATTCAAATTTTCTCCTCCGCTTATTAGATGCTTCAGTTGACCGTGTGTTGCCTAACTATACCTTTGTTGCCTAGTATCTGTATTCTTTCTCTAATTGCATATTATAATTCGCTCATTAGGATAAACTCACTTGCTGAAGGTTTGGACACAGCATCTGTAACTCCCGCCTCTCCACTACAGTGTTTAACCTAACTTATCTATCTCTTTATTAGTTCCAGTTTTGTTTTCCTGGGAGTGTTGCAGAGGAGGAAAGTCGAGCCCCATTGACGTCATCAACATGCGATGCTGCTGTGGAAGTGTTTTCACTTCAGAGCGGTATGTTTTAACCTTTTAACATCTACCCTGGATTTCAGCCGTCACGAGTGTTTTCCAACTTCCGGTTGTTTCTCACAAAGTTCAAGGTGACCACGGTAAGCGTAGAATTAGTTCGTTTTGAAATCTCTCTTGAGTTAGACAAACTGCTTTGACGGATCTGTGGTACGGGTTACGTTACAGCACTACAAGTTCTAACCAAAGAGGACAAGTAGTTTACTATTATTTGCGGAAAGTTAACGTGGGGCAACAGTTCGGGTGCGCATTTAGCCCCTATTAATTGGAAATGTCCACAGCTCAACGAGAACCAAACTGATGTAACACTGATTGGGCCAACTTCTAGGTTTTCGGCTTAATTATCTGGGTGTAATCTTCAATCAGCTCCGCTTTTTAACTCCGCTTCTGCTTCTATCGCAAACTGCTGCCGATGCAGTGTGATCCTTACTGTTCCGCGGACTGTACTACCACCCCGTGCGTCTGTTTATCTTTGATTACTGTCCCACTTGAAGCATTTCTCGCAGCTGAAGAAGCTTTCTTACGTTTTGGTTTCTTCTCATTACCATGGTTTTGAAAGCCCACGTCACTTCATTGGAACCTCTGACTAATCTTCATCTCCGCGTTTGTAACTTTATATGGCTCACGAGTTTACCGACCGTACAGCTAAAAAGCGCCTTACCTGCAATTAACAAACGGGTCCTCCCTTTCTAGTTGTATTCATAGGCGTTTCTGGCAGCAAAATATTAACATATTCGCAGTGCGCTTCACTTTGTTTTATTTTTTGTTACTATTTACAGTCCAAAATCGTTTCCCACTTTGTTTCCCAGCAACATAACCTGATTCCTACTTTTTGTTTTTATTTATTCTTAGCCTTCTTTTGGTCTTGATTGCACCATCTTGGTTTGTATGCGCTGGGCCTCCAATGGACCGGTATTGTGCGCATTACACTGCGGGTTTTTTAACCATCCTTCGATTGCCGCGAAACTTTCGCAGAGCTCCCCTGAGTTCGCCACTTTAGCAGGCTCAGCAACATATTGGCTAGAAAAAGAACGTCAGTAGTAAACTGTTTTCGCCTTCTCAGCCTGATGCGCATAGCTACTGCAACCCATTTGAAATCGTGCGTAACTGGTGCATCAACTCTTTACAAGCTAGGCCAAAACTATAGGATTTCACTGTCGCAGTTATCGACTTGTGAGACAATGCTTTTTCGATCGAGCTGACTTTTTTACGCCAATCCAACATTATGTGTGACTCCAGCTCTTACAAACTGGATTCTTAAGCTACCCACCATACCCCGTTCTATCGTAACTGCGACATCAAGTGCGTTGGCTTAACTGAAAATTAATCTACATGGCTCTTAAAGTCCAACTTTCTGAATCAAGCCTTAAGTGACACCACACCGTCCTCTATGTCGGTCTGCCAACACATATGCGAACCGAACAGACTGTTATTGGACACGCCAAGCATAGTCGTTTAAATGGTTTTACTGGTCACTTGGCGTAATCAAGTACCTTATGCGTTTAACACACGACAGAGACCGTTGTTATTTGCAGTAGCGCGGCTTCACCGTTTCTTTTTGATGCAGCGCCAAGGTGCGTTCAACGTGAATTCGACCAGCATCCGTAACCCCTTGAATCTCCGTGCTCACGCAGATCGTCAGCTTTCTCAATAGGTAAACTCCTGGTCAGGCTTCACCGGATACAGCTCGGATCAACGTTCAAAATTGTGTTATCTTAATCCCCGTTTCTTTCACTCACCGAGAATGTCGCTCTGCGTGTCCAAAAACAATTATTTGACAGCTTAAGGATTCCATGGACAGAGTGGTGGAACTTCCGTCATTCACCTTGTATCAAGCTTAATTGGTCAAACCTCTTGTTAAGTATATGCTTGCATATTGGTTATGGTTAGTGGTACGGAGACAGTGCAAAATGCCTGCATCTACCAGATTTCGTCTTTTCGCAGCACCAAAATGTGTGTACGAACACCGTAGGGACGATTTAGCTTTCATTCCGCTAGTTGGTTTTGTCGAATAAACCGTCCTTTTGTGAAGCACAGGCTTTTAGTTTGATTGGTGACTACACTTCTCCAGTCGGAGTCCCATTCACAATTATGGGTTTTTTAATACCATTGGCCTCATCAATGTTTATACTATTCTTTCCATGTGGCTTGGTTATTTCTACGATTTTGTGAAAACAGTCATTGCGCAACCAGCTAGTTAGAGCTAACTCTAAGTCAATCCGTTAGCCCGTAGCCTTAAGGAGCACAAGCCTGTTTTGTAACCCGAGGGCGCAGGTTCGAACCTCCGTACGGACCCTCGCACTATCCTTAGCCGACGCGCGACTATTGGGGAGTGCTCGGCAGCTAAGCGTCGCCGCTGCGTACCGGTGTACTTCTGATGCTTATGATACTTTCTTTTGCCATATGAAGTTTGCCAAGTTTGTTTCCACGTCATTTCCCTACCAGCATAAGTGCTCTACTGTGTTGTCAATTGTTTCCACTTATTTTCTGGTATTTTTAATATGCTTCGCGATACTGGTAACCCGAGTCGATCATTCAGTTGTTCGTTTATTCGCTGACCTTGGCAATTTGGTTGCAAACGTTTCGCCACCATGCGAGATTGCATCGTCATTGCGGTGGTATGCAGGGTACAAATTTGCTGATATGCTAATTGCAAGCGATGCACGACTTCATTCCTGTTCAGCATCATTAGAACTACTTTATATTCCTGGAAGCCTGTTGGAAAAGCATGTGCTGCGCTCCAAAGAAACCGATGATCCTGACATACGGGATTCCTCAGTCATATCGGCAATCAGATCCGGTTGTGATATCGTTCCAGGCATTTTAGAAGGCGGATTCACCGTTTGGGATGGAAGTAAAGAGCTCATCACTGCCGTGTTGTTCAATCTGTCTCACTCCGTGTTTCGTCACAAAACGGTCCTCGAGCTGGGTTGCGGCTGCGGATTGCCTGGCCTCGCTGCAATGAAGTTGGGCGCGAAACGTGTCACCTTCCAGGTTGGTTCTTTCCCGGCCTCATGGTTTTTTTCATTGTTTATCTATTCTTCTCCTATTTGGCTGAGGTTTTTTAAGCTTGTCACTTCCCTTTAGTTTCAAGTTCTTTGTCCATCACAAGTTCCAATCGCTTAGTCATTTGGCGCTGTTTATGCAGCTCAAGCCCGTGTCTCCATGGTTAGTGACGAAGCAATGCTGTGATTCAAATGATCTACAGGGAATTTATCATAACTGGTTTTATCATCTCGGCAACTCGTGCAAGAGCAAGCTTTATGCATCCGGAGAGGTGAATTTTCATCAGTTACTCCATCACTGCTTATGTTGTGATAAATGATACCAAGGAAAAATACAGGAACGAGTAGCAAAAACGAAACATGTAAACCATTGGCACCGCACGTGATTTCCGCTAGATGGATAATTAAACCTGGCAGTTAAGGTAATACCGTGTTACGATATGGCAAAATGCTTGAAAATAAGACATTACATTTCTAACGCGCAGCAGAAAACATAGCAATTTTAAGGGACCGTTATGCATTGGATGAAAGCAGTCATCTTAGAGGAAGGCTTAATGCAGGTGTCAGGATGCCTAACAACAGCCAAAACAATGAACGATTCCCTAGATAAGCCGCTGTTCCCAAACGTATGCTTCACCGATCACATCAACAAGGTATGTAGTGCTTCTGAACATTGAATACTGCAATTAGAGCTTGAAGGTACACATCTGTGTTGATCCATCGCTATATTTTTGGACACGTAGGCAGAACAACGTTATTCAATACCGCACACTGTCAACGCGGGTCGGTGAACCTGCTGGAATCCAGAAGAAACCTCCCGGCTGACTCTGAGTACAACGTGACCAGACGGACTATTAAGCGCGAACTAAAACGGAGCCTACGTGCTGACAAGGAAGCCTAGTGAACCAGTAGAGTTCAAGAAATGGTGGAGGCAGAAGCAATAGACAATTAGCGCAAGCTCTTCCAGTTGATCCGCACCACGGGTCCTAGGAAACCAGGCGACAATGTGACAATCAGAGACAGCGCGGGTGCGCTGATGCACAATAAGGAGCGCCGTATGGCTCGTTGGGTGGAACACTCAAGATCAGTTCAACTGGCCCCTGCTCCCGGACATTTTCCTACTCAGGTGATGCAGGACGAGCCATGGACGGTTAGTTTAGAGCCTCCGTCGGAGACCAAGGTCTGAGACGCGATCACAACCCTCAATCGTTTTCGTGCCATTGACCCGGATTTCATCCCACCTGCACTATTTAAGCCGTCGCAACGAGACTGGACCTTAACGGGGTGCGACGGTTTGCGTACCTCATTGACCCATTGAGCTATACTGGGTGATGCCTCCGAGCATCTTGAGAGCTACTCCTACCAGGTTGGTCAATGGTGAGAGGTCAGACAAACTCAGTCTCCTGGTCCTCCAGGTTGGGGGTTTGAAATGGGATGGCGTCCATTTCTGTAAAACTAAATCACTGCCACCCCGCTGCCTTGCGGACAGGCTTTTGAGCCAAAGGCTTTGGATGAGGACCCTAATCGTTCTCCTGTCTAGGTCTGGGCGCCCTGGCAGTATCCCAGCCCACATACAACCATGACATTTTCTTCAAACATAAACTTCATCCTGCATCGGCCGTCGCGCAGATTATCATGGGTCGCCTTATCTGCTGCATACAGCAGGGCGGATAAGCGAAAGCATGCTACTGCTGGCGCCTCCCTTCTTTCTTTTCCACCTTTTTCTCTTACTCCCATCCCGGCCCTCATTACTAACCTTCCTTCTATAATTCCCAGCTTAATTGACAGCAACCGAAGTGCTACTGGAGTAGAACCATCTGCAGCCACCATCCCACAGCACCTATCGGACGCCTATCGGCAAAAGTCCCTTATAAGACCACGCTGTCCCGTTTCCATGGCGACCTTCAACGTCCGCACTCTAAGACAAACAGGTCAGCAGGCTGCACTCGCACGCACCTTGGACACACTGGGTGTTGATGTGTGTTGTGTGTCCGAAACTAGGATTAATGACCCTAACGGGGTTATTGAATTGACTGTACCCGGCTTATCCTCTCGTTATTGGTTGCACGCATCCTGAGACGCCGATGCGGCACTCACCGGTCAAGCTGGTGTAGGTATCATTCTCAGCTCCAAGGCTGAGTTATCGTTGGTTGATTGGATTCCGGTGAACAGTCGTTTATGTGCAGCCAGTTTGACGACACCAGCTAAGGTGAATTCGCGAAGTAAAACAAAACGCTGTTTGTTTGTGATTTCTGCTTATGCTCCCACCGACTACAGTTCTAATGCAGTCAAGGACACTTTCTATCACGAACTGAACACGCTGCTACGCAGTGCTACTAGTTCAGATATTATAGTACTTGCAGGGGATATGAACGCACAAGTAGGGCGTCTGAGCTCTTCAGAAGCTCAGCTGGGTGGTAAGTATGGACTTAACTCCGAACGGACTGACAACGGCGAGCGTCTGCTGCAACTGTGTGCGGAGCACCAGTTGTTTCTTACTAGCACTGCTTTTAGACACAGTGGGCGCCGAAGTGCCACTTGGCGTCCACCTGTAGCTGGTCAGCGATGGACCCAAATTGACCACATAGCCATAAGTTACAGGTGGCGCGGTTCCATTCTGGATTGCCGCTCGTACTGGAGTACCTGTGTCGACTCTGACCATGCCTTGGTGCGCTGTCGTTTCTCCATGAACTTTACCGGAAGGCGCACAAAGCGTCTCCCCCGATTGGCAACGGAGAAATTGTCCCAGCCCTCTGTCAGGCAAGCCTATCAAGAAGCACTGCATAGCGAACTCTCGCTGTCTTGTCCTAATGATACTGAACTTCAGTGGAATAGGATCTCGGCCACTATGCACGACGCAGGAGCATCTGTTTGTGGCACTATCAGTCGTCATCGCACCAGTCACTGGATATCCGAGAGGTCCGTGAACCTTTTGGAAGCTAGAAGGCACCTCCCGGCTGGTTCGGAACACAATGTGACCAGACGGGCTATTAGGCGTGAACTAAAGCGGAGCCTACGTGCTGACAAGGAAGCCTGGTGGACCAGTCGGGCTCAGGAACTGGAGGAAGCAGGAGCAGTAGGCAATTACCGGAAGCTCTTCCAGCTAATACGCACCACTGGTCCGAGAAAACCAGGCGTCAGTGAGACAATCAGGGACAGCGCGGGTGCGCTGATACACAATAAGGAGCGCCGTATGGCTCGTTGGTCTGAGCACTTTGAACATCAGTTCAGCTGGCCCCCTGCTCCCGGACCTCTTCCTACTCAGGTGGTGCAGGACGAGCCATGGACGGTTAGTTTAGAGCCTCCGTCGGAGGCCGAGGTCCGAAACGCGATCACAGCCCTTAATCGTTTTCGTGCCGCTGGCCCGGATTCCCTACCACCTGCACTATTTAAGGATGGTGGTGAGGTCCTCTGCAAAGCACTGACCTCCCTATTCGAACGTATCTGAAGAAGAGAGTGTGCCGGCTAATTGGAGCGAATCGATTATAGTGGCAATATACAAGAAGGGCAGTCGCACAGACTGTGCGAACCACAGGGGTATTAGCCTAACGCCAGTTGTGACAAAATTACTGGCCTCGATTATCGTTCGTCGCCTCACTGCAGAACGGGAATCTCGGATTAGAGAAGAGCAGGCCGGTTTTCGCCCAGGACGTGGCTGTATAGACCATATATTTACTTTGCGGCAGGTGCTAGAGCAGCGCCACGCATACCGCAGACCGACAATAGCTGTGTTCCTCGATTTCAAGAGTGCGTTCGATTCAGTCGATCGATCGATTCTGTTCGAAATACTTGCGCGGAAAGGTGTTCCCACGAAATATGTGAACATCCTTCGTGCTCTATACTCGAACACTAGAGGCCGCGTCAGGGTCTATGGTGCCCTATCGGATAGCTTTTCGACCACAAGTGTCGTTCGTCAGAGTTGCCCGATTTCCCCATTTTTGTTCAATTTCGTCGTGGATTCTATCATGGAGTGTTCCCTTGCGGAATCTCACGATGTAGGTGTTGAAGTGCTGTCTGGTGAAAGATTATTTCATTTTGATTATGCTGACGATATTGTCTTGCTTTTCGACGATGTTGCGGCGACACAATCAACCGTGAATTGCCCGTTTAGAGTGGTCCCATTATTTGGTATGCACTTCCTACCTTCGAAGTGCAAAGTGTTGCTGCAGGACCTCTAGCCAATTGGTGATCCCTTGACGCTAGATAGCGAGAAACTCGAGGTGGTTGCTCAATTCACTTGTATTGGCTGCTGCATCAGCAACGATAAGCGCATAGAAGCTGAAGTCAGTTCAAGCATTGCAAAAGCCAGAACTGCCTTTTTGAACCTGCGGCATCTTTGGCGACATGAGTTTTCCTCCGTCTGAAAGGCCGTGTATACAAGGCCACAGTGCGAGCGGTCCTGCTTTACGGTAGTGAGACTTGGCCCCCTTAGGTCTGAAGATCTGAGGCGCCTTCAAGTCTTTGATCATCGTTGTTTGCGAAGCATTGCTGGTGTCTGATGGCACCAGCGTGTCCGCAACGATGATGTGCGTAGGCGAGTACTAGGGGGTGATGATCATGCTAGCTCTCTAGAATAGCAGATAGCACTGAATAAGTTGCGTTGGCTCGGGCACGTGCTACGCATGCCTGGTCACCGCTTACCTAGGAGGACATTGTTTAGTCTGCAAGGTGTAGGGTGGCGCAAAGCTCACGGTGGACAGAAGTTGACTTGACAGCGGGAATTGAAGTCACTGGCGACTCAATTGGGCGCGGTTGCTTCTTTTCGCCTTCCGGGTTGGAGTCCACGTGACTCGCCTTGTGCTTGGCTCGAGACTTTACAGGACATGGCTCGCAACCGACCCCAGTGGCGCGTCTGCTGCCGTCTCCTAATCGGATTGCCTGTTTATAGTGTGTTTAGTGCTGAGTTATCTGCGGGGTAATGGCTGATTATGACGCGTGGCAGTGAAAGCCGCAAGGAAGCCGTCTCGCCGATGCCGGCTTATCTTTACA